AACTAAAGATGTAATTGGGAACTTCTTTCTTATTTATAAGGTAGAAATTAAAAATCAGCTTGATAGAATAATAAAACAACTTAGATTGGATAGAGGTGGTGAATACAGAACTAACTTTCTCAAAAAGGTGTGTGACCCCCACTTTAAAGGAGATGATGAACTCACTACTCTTAAATTATGAATTATTTGATAACATGTGGGGTGAAACCATTCTGTCAGCAAATCACATTTTAAACTGAGCGCGTCATAAGAAATTAGATTGTAACTCATACGAGTTGTGGAAAGGTCATGCACCTAATTTACAATACTTAAAAGTGTGGGGGTGTTTGGAAAAAGTTGGAATGTTTGAATTTAAGAAGTCCACCATAGGTTCCAAAACCATCACATATAGATTCATGTATATGCATGATTTCTCTATTTATGAATCTAGGGATGGTGTGTTCTTTAAAGATAACTTTCCTTAAAAAAACCTAGATTAAGCTTGTGGAATAATCAATTCTCCACTACTTACAAGAAATAAGATGCAAGATCATTAGGTCTTTAGAAAGGGAGTAATGGAGCTTAGGTAAAGGTAGAGAAAATGCTAAAATGGAGGTTTAAAATCAAGACAAAGAATTCTTCAATAATCAAACCAAGTCTAGGAAATAAACAAAGTAAATAAAAGGGATGCAAAAATATAAACATCAAACAACCCTAAGTAAATAAAAGGGATGCAAAAATATGAAACAAACATAAAACAACCCTTTTTATTGAACTTTTTTTTTTCTTTCTTCTTTTTCTTTTATTTATTTATTTTTTCTTCGTGGAACAAGGCCACTCACAACTTCAATTCTTTGTCTTGTCAAGGGTGAAAAATAAAAAGGTTTGTGGTTAAGAAGGAGGTGAAATCAAAGAAATGGATATAGGTTCAAACTGGTTCACTAATGGAGAAGAAAAAGGTAGGCTTTTTTTAAGGTAAAAATAGGCTGAAACCTAATGCCTAAATCATATCAAAACACCAAATTTCATATGTAGTCTCAAAATGCATCATGCCACAAGTTTTAGATTTCCAAAATTCAATTCGACACACTCAAGCAAGAAAAAGAGCATAAAAATGAAGCAAAACATGCTTAAGGCTCAAAATCTCACAAAGTGGGTTATTGAATCAAGCTTGGCGAAATTCAATCGATAAAATCAAGCAATGTCACAATGAAGTCAACTTAAATTCTTGATCATGCAATTCAACTATCAAGAATGTTTTAATTCAAAATATTTACACGAGCTTAAAATATCACAACATGCTAAAGATAATCGACGGATAGGAAAAATTCAACCAATTCAATCATGCCATCAATCATGCTAAAGACAATTTTCTGTAAAAAATAGTGAAAGACAACAATCATGTCATCACATCTTAAAATAGCACAATAACAAAGAAACAATTTTAAAAATTAGTGATAAAAGTGAAATAATTTATAGTTCAATGACCAAAACAAGATGATGCCTAAAATTCTCTGGCTAATGATGTAGTTTACCCTAAAATATATTTGTGTTTGTATTTAAATCAATATAAGTATATAAATTCATGTTACATTTGATTAGTTGATTAAGTTTAGTTCGATTTAGGGACAAATATGAAATTTTATGCTAGGAGGATAAACTTATAAAATATTAAGGGGATAAGACAACGACCCTCACTTCTAGAAATAACAATTATTCTTTTAACTATTGAAGTAGTTCGATTTATGCATGCCTAAAGTATTTTTAATCAAAGTAAATGTATAATATTTTGTTTTATAATCATTCTCATGTAAATTTGTTACGTCCTTAAAAAATATTTTACCCAATGAATATGTGAGATATGACCCTCTCCATCTTCATTTCTTCTTCCAAATTTCGTTTCACACCCTTTCTTCTTTTAATTTTATTGGTAACTAAACAGGAAAAAAAGGAAAATATAGATAAGATAATATCCTGGTAATTATCTTGAATATTGTTGAATATTGTTTTATGTTATGTGAGATTGAATCTTGGTATTTATCTTTAAATTATGTGAGTTCAACACTGTTGGATTCTGGGAATTTGGTTTTGAGAAATGGGAGCTCTGATGTACTATGGCAGAGCTTTGATTACCCTTTGAATACTTTTTTACCTTGAATGAAGCTTCGTTACAGTAAGAAAACTGAAAAAGTTTGGTCTTTAACGTCTTGGTTAGACCAACAAGACCCAAATAAAGGGGATTTTGAGGTGAAAATGGATTCTACAACATCTGATGCATTTGTACTCATGACTCATGAGGGGTAATGAAACAAGATGGAGCAGTGGTGCTGGGAACGGAAAAGTTTTTGATTTCATGCCTGAAATGAGATTGAATTACATCTTCAACTACACCATGTATAGCGACGAAAACAAAACATATCTTTCGTATTCGCTGTATAATAATTCTCTAACTAGATTCCTCATCCACAGCTCCGGACGAATTGGACAGTCTACATGGCTTGAAAGTAATCAACAGTGGAACATGTTTTGGGCTCATCCGAGAGAAGTGTGTAACATTTTTAACGCTTGTGGTCCATTTAGCTGCTGCAGCAGTGACAGTTGTCTGTGCTTTCGAGGCTTTTACCCATCAGAGAAGCGGATAATACAAGGCCAGTACGGGAGTGTACGAGGAGAGCGCCCCTAACTTGTGGTAATGGAGATAATAGAGACAGATTCTTCAAAATGAACAACGTAAAGTATCCTTTGAGTTCAACTCAGCAAATCAGTTCATCTTATCCTTTCCCATCGGGTCCTTAAGTCTCAACCTCTGACGCTAACAGCGAAGAAGCTTGCTTGAATAACTGTAGTTGCAGTGCATATGCATATAACACACGTGGCCATTGCTCAAGATGGTTTGGTGACCTTCTTGATCTTCAACAACTTTCAGCAGAGGATACTAGTGCAAGTACATTCTTTATCAGACTTGCAGCTTCCGAAATCGACAATGGCAGAGGTAGTTTCTTTCTAAAAACTTTTAACTATATTGGCTATCAAATTTATTCGGAACTTTTAATTTCTTGAATTCGATTTCTAGGATCCAATACGTATATATGGATAATTGCTATCCCCATTGTTCTATTGGTACTTTTCCTGCATCCTTCATTGTTTCTAAGAGGAAGATGTTTAAAGACAAAGGTACTGTGTTTCGTATTAGTCTTTGTGAATCAATCTGCTACCTTGCTCGATATGCGAATGGATGAACTTGCATATGCTGACCTCTCTGTCTTCGAAAACAGGAGAGATGGATGATGCAAGCCAGGATATACTGCTCTTTGATGTGGAGATGAGCATCACGGCTAGTAGAAGAGAATTTTTAGATTCCGATAACCCCGGGAAACTTACGAGAAAGGACACTGCTTTTCCATTGTTTAGGTTTGCTAGTGTATCGGAAGCTACTGAAAACTTCTCTTTGGAGAATAAGTTGGGAGAAGGGGGATTTTGGCCCTGTTTATATGGTATCAAGTCTTTAATCTTTTAAGACTATTACCAGAAATCAAGCTCAATTTTTCTGATGGTTGATTGCAGGGAAAACTATTAAATGGAAAAGAAGTACCAGTGAAAAGGCTTTCCAAAGTGTCCAGCCAAGGGCTCGAAGAGTTATAAACGAGACGATGCTTATAGAAAAACTTCAACATCGGAACCTTGTTAGGCTATTAGGTTGCTGTTTAGAATGAGGAGAAAAGATACTGATCTATGAGTTCATACCTAACAATAGCTTGGATTTATTTCCTTTTGGTTTGTGACTTATGAATGCTTACACCTTCCCTGTTCTCCCCAAGATTTGCTTTTGTTATGCTACATTTTTTTTTTTGCAAATCTGTATCAGGTTCAAACAATCAAGGACTACTAGACGGGGAACAAGAGTTCGAAAAATAGAGGGGATCGCACAAGGCTTCTATATCTTCACCAATATTCAAGACTACGGACCATACATCGAGATCTAAAGGCAAGCAACATCCTGTTAGTGAAATGAACCCAAAAATATAGGATTTTGGGTTGGCAAGAATGTTCGGTGGTGGCAGGTTACGATCAAATACTAATAGGATTGTAGGAACATAGTAAGTGGAATTCTAATATCCATAACTTACAGTATGATCTACTAGCTTTAATCATCTTTCATTGAAGAATCTAATCAACTTTTGTGTGTGAAAATGACGTAAACATAGTGGCTATATGTTGCCGGAATACACCATGGAAGGCCTCTTCTCCATTAAGTTGGACGTGTTCAGCTTCGGTGTCTTGCTGTTAGAGACATTAAGTGGCAAGAAGAACACCGGCTTTTACCATAGCAGTTCTCTTAATCTAATTGGACATGTGAGTGACAAAATCTCTCCTCTTTTTTCTCCCTAGGTTTTTATTTGTCTTTTGTCGGATAACATGTGAGATATTAAAACATGTTAGCTTTACTTAAGGCATGGGCATTGTGGGAAGGAGATAGAGGCGGTGAGTTGGTGGATCCTAGATTGGAAGACCAAGTTTCGTATCCTATGCTGCTGAGGTACATTCATGTGGCTCTTCTTTGTGTTCAAGAAATGGCGGCTGATAGACCGACAATGTCCAAAGTTGTCTCCATGCTTACCAATGAGCTCACGGTTCTAAATTCTCCCAAAAGCCTGCTTTCTCTAATGCGACAAGTAAAACCAATGATTCAAATCAGCCTGCAACATTCTTAGTGAATAACGTCACGGTTTCTTTGATGGAACCTCGATAGTTATTTTCCATTATATTTCATGCAACACTCCAATACCATATTGAAAAACTTTAACAATTTAACCTATACGATATATATGCTGAAATAAATACTTTCATTCTTCATATTTTCCAAGCATAATAGTAACATTAGTTTTCAATGATTCATTGATTTTTGTTTTTTATCTTTATTTTTTTAAAAATAATTTCAATTTCAATAAAATGACCAAAATGGGAGAGAAGTGGCATGTTGATGACTAATGATGTAGTTTTCACAAGAAAATAAGCAAGTTTCATCGAGGGACAACCACCGACACTGTTAGTTTATTCTCGGATATCTCTTGCTTACTCTGACTCAAATCCAATCCACTTCGGACATTCGAGAAAGCCGGTAGCACCGGAGAACGTATTATGGCAAGTTTGTTGTTCAACATCATGACAACATCCAACATGGTCGGCCTGTCGGCTGCTCGGTCCTCAACACAAAGGAGTGCAGTATTGATGTATCTAATAGCTGCATTTGGACAATACTTACCTTGCAGGTCAGTGCTCATCAACTCCAATGGCTTATCGCTTGTCCAGAGATCCCATGCCTGAAAACAGAAATAGTTTTAACAACTTCAGTACGACCATAAATATTACGTTTCAACATATGTTACTAAAGTTATGGCACTTACATATCTAATAAGATTGACAGAATTGCCGAGATAGAGACGGGTGTTCTTTTTGCCACTTAAAATCTCTAACAACAAAACTCCGAAGCTGAATACATCTGATTTCACTGAGAAGACGCCTTCCGAAGCATACTCCGGAGCCATGTAACCACTGCAGTTTAATTAAATCCCTGCTTATGATCCTATGTTCACGGATGTTATGTAAGTGTATATGCTAACTACTTACTAAGTTCCAATAATAGGATTGGTTGCTTCTTGTTGTGTGCCTCCGTAAACTCTGGCAATCCCGAAGTCTGAAATTTTCGGGTTCATATACTCATCCAACAAAATGTTGCTGGACTTCAAATCCATGTGAATAATTTGAACCCTGGAATATTCATGGAGATAAAGAAGGCCTTGAGCAATCCCTTGGATGATTCGAACTCGAGTTTCCCATGGTAGAGTGAAGATTGCATTGGTAGCTGAACAAAATGAAAATCCCATGAGAACCTATGTTACAGGGACTCGGACTCTTTAATCAGATATGAAAATTGCGGAAATGAGAAGTAATTACCAAAGAGGAAAGAGTCTAAGCTCTTGTTGGGCAAATATTCGTAGATTAGAATCTTTTCATCCCCTTCAATGCAGCAACCAAGAAGCTTCACAAGATTCTTGTGTTGGAGTTTGGCGATTAGCATTGCTTCGTTCTTTAACTCATCCCAACCCTGCCCAGATTTTCTCGACAGCCTTTTAACAGCTACATCATCCCCTTTCAGTAATTTTCCCTGAAAAGAAAACAAACTTTCCCAGTTGATAACATGACCCGAATCTCAAATGGAATCCAATTGGCAGGTAGGTGTATGAATTTCACCTTGTAAACAGGGCCAAAACCACCCTCTCCAAGTTTATTTGAGAAGGAGAAGTTATCTGTTGCAGCGGATACGCTTGAAAAACTGAACAATGGAATTTCCACTTCCTTTTCATGTTCTACCTGTCGTCTTGGTTTAGATTGTTTGTTTTCGGCATGTGCTGGACTCATTGTAACATCAAATGTTAGTAGGTCTTGCCCTGCTAGTTCAAGAGTTGAGAAGCATATAAGTGAGGACATTAAACATTAAATTCGAAGCACGTTCGACTAATGTCAGACATGGATACTTCAAGAAGGAAACTTTCACCTTTTCTCTTATTTCTTCCCTTCTTCACTTGCCAAATGAACAACGCTGAACCAAAAATTGTCATAGAAATTGTCGTTATCTCAATAATTGCTCTCCTAATATTTCCTGTGCTTTCTGCATTTCCAAGAAATAAACAAGTTTTTTAGATCATTTTCCAGCATCGAATTCGTCTAAAAGGTTGGATCACAATACGTAAATGTTACAATTGATCTTACTGTTAGTCCCCAAATCTGCAGCTGCCAGTTTGAGATAAAAATCTGTTCCGGAATTGTCATTAGCTGGAAGTTGCTGCAAATTGATAAGACGGCCGCACCATATCGAGCAATTCCGATTGGTATATGAGAAACCAGAACACGAGCAGTCACTCGAGCAAGCTGACCTGCATTCACCAATGCTTTGAACCACTTGAGTTCGCTGATTTTTGGGCAACTTTACATTAGAAAGCTCATGAAATCCATCCTCTGCAGTCCCCGGACGTTCAATGCCACACTGTAATTCATTTTTCCTAAAGCAACCTTCTTTGAAATCTCCATTGTTCCAAAGCTCAGCCTTGTTTGGCTCGAATCCAAGTAAACAGCTACAAAACGGTAATGAAACTTTGCTGCAGCTCGAATTGTCTCCGCAGTAAGCGTGTAGGTCGCACTCTTCTCTCGGTTGACTGTTCAACAAAGTCCATTCGTTGTCTAACCATAGGACTTGTCTCAACTGTCCAGTTGCATGAAGCGTAAACCGACTAACCATGTCTGTTCTATAGAGTTGGTACGTGAGATAAGATGTATCGGATTCGGAAACAAAGTTGAAGTTGTACATGTTCATCTTTGTTTCACGAGGGAATTCGAAAAGCCTGGATTCATCTCCCCATGGCCTAGTTGATCTCCAGTATATCTCATCTCCGTTCAAGATCACGAGCCGCTTCTCAGGTCCGGGATCCAATTGGAAGGTAAAATTTCCAGGACTCGGGTCATTATAACTCCGCCATGAGGTATATGACCAAGTTTTCCCGATCCTCGTATCGTATCCGAGTTTCATCCCGGGCAAGAAAGTGTGGGAAGGGAAATCAAAGCTCTGCCATAAGATGCTAGAATTTTCATCTCTCAAAACAAGATTTCCCGAATCAAGCAATGTAGCACTCACATTTGCATTGGCTAATTTCAAATCTGTCACCATGTAAATGATCCTACCTTGCCTAATCGCTAGATTACCGTCATCACCTATGTAGGAAAAGGCCGAAGTGGTAACTGGATAATCCCGGTTCGCTATCCAAACGACTCGATCTTCCCGGATATTCTTGTACATGATTGCCAAATAGTAATTCACTGAATTGGTAGGTAGATAAAATCCTAACTCAAATATTTCACCAGCAGAAACAATTGCTGCTGAGCTATTCAGGTAATGGCCTGGTGTGATTGTGTCCATTGCAGCCTCAGAGTATATCAAGACATGACTTGAGAACATCAGCAGGATAAAAGGACATGAAAATCGGGTTTTCGAAAAAATCATTTTGTTTCTGATAAGTGGTCAGAATACAACAATGACGGCGAGACGGCGGCAATAACAACGAAAGCAGAATCGAATTCCGTGTCAGATAAATGATGAGATATGATTCTCTAAAATTTGAAGCTCCATCGTTTAGCTACCGTGGTATCATCTGCTTTACAAAATGTCTATGGAAGGTATCTATCATCCATTGATGAGATGCCAATCTAAGGCAAAGGAAGATTAGTCAAGTAAATTGAAACGATCTACATTAAAAAGCCAGTGGAAAATTATTCTTCGAACAAAAAAGCTGATAGACTTGGTCTTTGGGCGATTTTCTAAAGAAAAAATAAATAAAAAAGTCCACAATTTTGACAAAGAAAGTTATATGTACATTCATTCTTCGTATTTTTTAATTTTCGTTAAATTATACATGTAAAATTATAAATGGATCACTAAACTTCAAGAAGTCTCAGATGTCTGAATCTCTTGATGCAAAGTTAAACTGATGGAGACAATTTTGAGCAACCTACTCGGCAAATGAAGAGAAAGAAGCAAGACAGGACAATTTTGAGCTACTCAAAAGATGCATTCCCTACACTTTTCTTGGCATTTTAATTTCATAAGTTTATGTCTTGATTGTTGAAAACTCTATACTGCACAGCTTAACCAGAGGGAAAGCAAGGTGAAAAGAAAAAAGGAAATGTAGGCTGTTAGATGATCTCATCCCTTAACCAGAAATGTCTTTTTATATAGCCAATAGTTTTTCCTTACGGGTTAACACTATAAGTTTAACCCAATAGAAAACTGGCTTAACCGTAAAACTAACCCTTAACAGAAACGGTTAGCAACCAACTATTCCAGCTGACAACTACTCCAGCTGGCATCACTATAATTCTTAATATTCTCTCCACTTTCCAACTCCTCCAAGCAAAAATAAAAAACTAAGCCTTGTGCAGCTGAAGACTTTGCAGTGATACCATATTTAACTTCTGTCGAAATTCCTAAAACCGAGTTGTAATCAATGGCTTGGTTAACACATCTGCAACCTGATAGTGTGCTGGAACATAGTTGACAGTCAATTTTTTATCCATCATTTTTTCACGAACAAAGTGTACATCTAAGTTCACATGCTTAACTTTGGCATGTAAGACAGGATTGGCAGCCATAGCAACAATGCTGGTGTTATCACACCATATAACTGGAGGTTGAGATAAAACCACATTTATATCATCAAGAACAACTTTTACCCAGAGAACCTCAGACGTTGTATCAGCAAGACTTCGATATTCTGCCTCGGTTGTGGATCGAGACACTGAACTCTGTTTGCAAGAACTCCATGACAACAAATGATTACCTAAGTAAACAAAATATCTAGAAATCAAACGTCTATCATCGGGGTCATTACCCCAATCTGCATCTGTAAAATCCTTGACCTGAAGCTGCCCTTGATGTATGGTTAACCAAAGTCCATAATCTAATGTTCCTTTGAGATAACGAAGAATAAGTTTGACCCTTAACCAATGAGCTTCACGGGGTGTCTGCATAAACTATCCAACTTTATGAACACCAAATGAAATATCCGGTCTAGTATGACATACATAAAATAATGCACAAATTGCACTACGATATTTTTGAGCGTTCACCGGAGCTCCTGCATTCTCTGTACTCAACTTAGGTGTGACATGTAGAGGTGTATCCACTAGTTTTGTAGTATGCACATTAAACTTGACCAATAATTCTTTCACATACTTCCTTTGGCTAAGGAACAATCCAGTTATAGTGTGAACAACCTCAATGCCTAAAAAAAATGGACAAGCCCGAGGTCTTTTAATGAGAACATGTCATGAAACTGTGTTTAACTTCTTTAACATATTTTTCATAAGAACCTGGCACAAGAATATCATCAATATAAACAGCAATATACGTAACATCATCATTTGAACCATAAATGAACAAGGGACTATCAGCGCGAGAAGAATAAAACCCCAAATCACACAAATACTTATAAAGTTTATTAAACTAATTTTGAGGAGCTTTTTGAAGTCCGTAGAGAGCTTTTTGTAGTTTTCATATTAGTTTCTCACCATGTGGACCAACCTGTTCAAACCCTTTTGGTTGATTCATATACACATCCTCCTACAAATCACCTTTGAGAAAGACATTATTCACATCAACTTGATAAACTTGCCATCCTATAGAAGTAACAATAGAAAGCAAAACATTTAGTGTGAAGAATCGAACTACAGGACTGAAAGTATCGCCAAAATCACAACCTGGAACTTGAGAGTACCCTTTTGCTACAAGCCTTGCTTTAAACCGATTAACAGAACCATCTGAATTATATTTAATACGAAACAACGATTTACAGTCTATTACTTTTCAATCAGCTGGCAATGGAACTAATCTCCATGTATCATTATCAAGTAAAGCCTTGAATTTCATTTCCACTACAACACGCCAATGTTTATGTTGTAAAGCATCATGCACATTCAAAGGAGTTTCATTAAACACCGTGTTATAGGCTTTGGGTTTGAAAATTCCTACTTTGCTGCGAGTAACCATGTGATGTCTATTTGTAGCCTGTTGAACATCCATGCAATTATTTTCAACAGGTACATAACTGATTGAAACACTTGGCTCCCGAACACCAACTAAACAATCTTGAACATCTCGTTGTTCAGCACCAGAAGACACATGTTCACTTCGAGCAACTTCCTGTTGTTCAACATTCCTAGACACAACTTCTGACATTGCCTCCATTGTGTATAACTTATCATCACGACTAAGGTTCACACCAGGTGTATTAACCGAACCTGCCACATTAGCATTTGGCGAGTCAGGAACACATATGGGATTATCACACACCATAACCACATCTTTGTGAGCATTTGAATTGAACTCAACATTAGGAAAAGGAACAACTCACTCAGTTTGTTTGATATCCTTATCAACACTTATATACACAGATGAAAAAGGAAACATATTCTAATTGAATGTAACATGTCGAGATAAATATATACGACATGTACTATCAAGACATTGGTACCCATAATATTGTGGTGAGTAACCGAGAAAAACACATGGTTTGGACACGAAGTCAAACTTATGACGATTGAAAGGTCGAAGACATGGAAAACACTGACTGTAACACCCCCAACCCGTACCCGACCCGGATACGAGTCCGAGGTGTCACATTGACTTTTCAAACCTTAACTCATGACAAAAACTCGAGAAAATTTAAAACTTTCATTAAAATCACAGCGGTTTGTTAACTCAATCAATTAGTACATGCCAACTATATTCAATATATAGAATACATCTAATTCTAGACATCTTTTCTGATCTGATCTTCGGTAAGAAGTAACTGACTGGTCTTGCTCCTCTTCACTTTTCTTCTAGCTATCCGGAACCTACGTGTGAAATACTCACACGCTAAGTCGATGACTTAGTGAGGCATAAAAACATATAACCACTACTAATGCATTCATAATCTATACTTATTATATCATACAAAATCATACATTCTATCATGCAACCACTATCCACTTGTACACACACATCATTCACATATTCTTATCATATATCATTATAAGTAATCCAATTTCACAATTGATCTGGTACCTATTATATTAGTTTTGTCATCATTTCTCAAGGAAGGACACATCACATCATATAATTCTTATAACAGGTTTCATAGCACAAAACATGTAAACCATATGTAAGGTATTTATTATTATCTCTTTATTAGTCTTATTTTCGTTCTTTATCTTTTTGTCATATGTTCTTGCATCAATTCCTCTTAACCAAGCTATATACACATCATCATATCACATATATCACTTCACACCATAAAGATTACAAACCAATCACATATTATCATGCAAGGTTCTTTTATATTATTTCCTTTATTAGCCCATTTACACATGTGAGAACCATAGATATGTGAGTCTATAGAGGTTGTGCACTAATGCTGTCACCACAGCTCGTATAATTGCACCGAAGTGCCACGTAGAATTGCAGCGAAGTGCCACGTAGAATTGCACCGGAGTGTCGCGTAGAATTGCACCGGAGTGCCGCGTAGAATTGCACCGTAGTGCCATATAATAATGTCCATAAGGACCACATATCATTCCTTCACAATCATATACATATACTAGGGATCAAGTATGTGTCTCACAAGACTTCACACATGTTCCAAAGAATATATATATATCCCGAAGGACCGCGTAGACCCTCGACTCTTGGCATGCCAACTATACCCCTAGCTCTCAAGACACATAACATGGGCATTTTCTTTTATACGTATCATTTCACATAACACATAGTTCACTTTCACATATCACGTAGCTTATGTAACTTTTCGTGTCATTTTACATTTCTTGACACCTTGCTTACATTATATTATTATGACTTTTTCATAATTACATATACACATAATCTTATAGTTCATTCACATAGCTCATCATAAATTTTCATAAGATCACACCCATTCACGTAGTTTATTTCCATATAATTCACCTGTACCTATTTGGTTTCTCATATACACACAGAGTCTTATAATATTTCATACGACCTCATACATCACATCACCTAGATACATACTCAAATACTCATAGTTATATAGTATTTAAATTATTCATATTCACATCATTCATGGTCATATTTATAACCATGCATTTTATATTCTATGTGCATATCATCACTTTATATCCAAATCTCCTAAGTGATATATTATTCTCAGTTCCTTTTATAGTTGAGTCTTATCTAGTTTTCCTCTATTCTCCATAAATCTTATAACTCTAACGCACAATTTCCCCTAATTGATCCTATCATTACTTACTTGTCTCATTTATATTTCTATTATTTATATAACCTTTACACATGTTTACCTAATTCAGATTCACATACTTATCACATATGCAAGTCTTTTAATAAATTATCATCAAAAGCTCATATAACATCTTCCTATAGCTTCATAGATCTTTACCGTATAATTGATCTTACATATCCCTATAATCAGTTCTATCAATATTTCCTAGTATATATATATATATATATCTATTAATCTCATATTGTTCTATAGGTCAATGTT